ATGCTGGTGGGAGCTGCAGTCAACTGAAGTGATGCAGGTTGGAGGGGGCTACACATATACCTAGCAAGTTAGTGCTGGCTGTTGGCAGCAGGCCTCACTTCTGCCCATGAGAACCTAGTGTCCTCTTGATATGGCAGCCGGCTTCCCCCACAGCAAGTGAATCGAGAGAGAGATCCAGACAGAAGCTGCGGTGTTTTTATGGCCTAGCTTTGGAAATTTTACACCTTCATTTCCACATCTTGTTGGTTACACGAGTAAGCCCTATCAGTGTGGGAGGTGACTCTCTCCTCAATATTAGGAGGTGAGAGTCATTGTGGGCCGTCTTGGAGGCTGGCAACCATACCTGTCCACATTCCTTTGGTTTAGGGTGGAGAGGGCCCAGACTCCATTTCTAGGAGCTGGGATTAGGGGAGAGAGAACTGGTGCATGGGATCTCTGGCAAAACTCAGGACTAAATCCATGGGGCAGAAAGTGGAGATAACAAAACCATAGATGGATTTGCAAATGAATGTGAAATCCCAGGGTTTTTATATAGTGTGGGGAGCAAACTGTTTAAGGTACTCTTTAGATGCCTACCTTAGGGGCTTTGAAATGAGATAATTCTTCAAAGTGCTTAAAACAGCCTACTGCTCAATGTAAGAGTCTCCACTGTGCACCAGGCACTGTGCTTGGAACTTTACACACAGTATCACATTTTATTACCACAAGCTCTGCCAAGTAGATGCCTTTGCCCTATTTTATTGAAGGGGAATCAGTGCTTAGACAGGTTCAGTTTCCCACCCCAGGTTGCAGAGACGGGAAGCAGCAGCTGAAGGAGTCAGCCCCAGCTCTGTCTCTGGATCCTGTGCTTTGGCTTCTGGCTCGTAGCCTCTGGGCTGCCCTAGAATCCTGATCCCTGTACCCACGAGGGATCTGGTTGTGATCCTAGCTCCGTGTCAGTAGATCTGAATTGTGGTCCAGCTCTGCTGCCCACTAGCGAGTTACATTTTCTTCCTGCATCAGTTTCCTTTGTGTGAAAATGGAGATAATGATACACAGTTGAGACTTGAACAACATGGGTTTTAACTGCATGGGTCCACTTAGACAAGGATTTTTTTCAAAAAGTATTTTGGAAAATTTTTAGAGATTTTTGAAAATTCAACAAAACTCTCAAACCACGTAGCCTAGAAATTTCAAAAAAATTAAAATGTATGTCATGAAAGCATAAAATAGCTGTAGACATGAGTGTCTTTTATCATTTACTACCATAAAATCAACAGTAGGCTATTAGTAGTTAACTTTTTGCAGAATCAAAAGTTATATGTAGATTATCAACTGCATGGCCAGGGGGTGGTGGTGGCAACTTCTAACACCCACCCATACTTCCTTTAGTTGTGCTGAGGTTTAAAATGAGTTGATAGGGTAAAGCGCTTAGAACAGTGCCTGGGGTATGAAAAGCTCCCTGAGAAACATTAGCTGCTCCTGCTGTGGCTACGGCGTCGTAGTCATCCTCCTCAGTGTAATTGCTGTTGCTGCCTCACTGTCTGATGGCAGTTTCCCAGTAAGTAAAATGGGAAGAAGATTCTCTTAGTTGTTTTCTGAAGTTCTTTTCACTGCTGTGGAAGACAACTTGTTACATTACAAAATTCTTGTAACATTACAAATATTACTTCTTTAAGGAGAAATGTTCCATTACTAAGGTCACTTATGTAGTCTTTTCGTCAAGTTGGTTCCACAGTTTGAGCTGCAATTTTAATGGTGCCCCTTTTCCAGGTGGTGGCTTTCTGGACTCTGATGCTGAATGGCCCTTTACCCAGAGCCCTGCAGAATTCAGAGCACCCGTCTCTGCAGGCCAGCGCCTGTGATGCCCTGTCTTCCATCTTGCCAGAAGCCTTCAGCAATCTCCCGGTATCTTTAGGAGTGTTTTCTCATCCTTACATGGTGTCCCTAAGCATCAGAGCTTGAGCTTGATTTTGATTTTCTCATTTTGAACCAGTATTCAGCATTACCTCAGAGGAAAAAGGGCTTATCCTGCTTGAGTGTGGAGTGAGGGCAGTAGGGAAAATTAAACTCTTGATGTCTTGGGAAAACTTTTCCTCCTTGTGCGTAGGAGGCAGGTGGCAGAAGTGGAGGTAACAGGCTTGGAAGTCAGATTTCAGAAAGATTATACATCCAAAAATTAGAAAGACCTAGGTTTAAGTCCTAGCTTTTCTTTCTAGTTCTTTGATTATCTTAACTTCTCTAAAACTGAGTTTTTATGTCTATAAAATGGGAATGAAGTGGTGAATAACATGAAGTATATGAAAATACTTAGCTGGTGCCCAACTTGGTGCAGTCAGACTGTGCCTCTCCTTCCGTCCTTAGTGGCATTTGCATCTGTTCTTACAAATTAGCTTTAATAAAGAAGGGGTTTTCATGGTGTAGGAGAATAAAATGACCTGATTCACGTGGTGGTACAAGTTAAATGATCACAGATGATGCTTGTGCCCTGCACCAACTAGGTTCTCAGATAATTACTGGATCGGAATTGAACCTCTGTTCTCCGCCAGGGAGGCCTCAAGGACTCCTTGTGTTCAACTCCCAAGTATGGACTCAAACACAATTTTTTTTTTATTAGAGGCATGTCCTAAGTCTCTTGCTGAAGACAGTGGCTCAGAGTTTTTCATTCTCACTACTCCTTTGCCAACTTTTCTCATTGCAGAATGACAGGCAGATCCTGTGCATCACCATGCTGCTTGGGCTGAATGACAGCAAGAATCGTTTAGTGAAAGCTTCGACCTCCAGGGCTCTTGGAGTCTATGTGCTTTTCCCCTGTCTCAGACAGGTCTGAGTGAGCCTGTCTAGCATTTCTTATGTGCCTCTTTGATAAGTCATATTAATGCTTTTTTTTTTTTTGTGGATATAGAGCTTTTGAGTTGGACAGTAAGACATTAAATTGCTTTGTAACTTGGTGTCCTAAATTGCTACTAAAGTATGGTAATTTCTGTAGTTTAATTATTTAGTATACTACCTAGGACCCCAGGTGCCCAGAAAATACTTAAATTAATGAATAATTGAAAAGAAAGTGAAGGGGGACAAGGCCATGTGATAGTAAATAGTTCAGAAAGCTGATAGTTTTTACTAAGAAGAAAATAAATTTCTCCTTCCTTCTTACTTGTGACATTTATTTCACTGAGAAATGTGTAAGTGCATAGGATGTGTTTTAGAAATGCATTTCATTATCAGCATTGTTTCCCAAGGTAGAAGTCAATCTAAGCACAGAATTAATAGAACTGTCACAGGCCCGGTTATAAAATATTCAGAAGAGCAAAATCCATAGGCTCCTCAGGTGTGCATGGCACATACCAAAATCATGGGAGATTCCCCTGGGATTTTAATGAGTGTCCAAATTGTGATATAATAAGTTGAGTAAATTAATTTTAGTTTCTGAATAGAAGTTTACTCTGGTGAAGGCTTAATAGTTTTATCTGAAAATTGCAGAATTTCCAAGGGAGCAGTGTGAGCTCTGTAAGTAACCATAGTGTTTCATTTGCTTATTGTATAGGATGTCATATTTGTTGCAGACACAGCAAATGCAATATTGATGTCACTTCAAGACAAGTCTCTGAATGTCCGGGCCAAAGCAGCCTGGTCCCTGGGCAACCTGACAGATACTCTGATTGTCAACATGTAGGTGACTCAGCTTCTTCCTCTTGGGGGCCTTCTGGGGCTCAGATCTCAAGAGGGTATCTTTGATCCCTACTATAAAATAAATAACAGTTCTTCTCCTATATTATATAGTCAGTCTTCCTACTTTGTTTTATATTCCTTCCAGTAATAAGATTAGTTAGCTGTTCTTAATATGTATGTGTAAAAAATACCATGTGCTGAAGTAAATGATATATCCACATTACAGAAATTATGGGAAATACAAAAATAGAAATCCAAAATGATAGTAATGATTGCCCTGCTTTTTAAATACTGTATGTGTATTTTTTAAGTAATATATTCACAGGCTAAAAAAACATTCAAACAGTACAAAAGGGTATTTGGTGTAAAGCCTTTTTCCTACTTTAATCACCTGGTCCCCTCCCAGGAGGCATCTGTGGTTAGTCATACACCAGTGTCCTGCTTTTTGTCTCTAACACAGAACTTTTTGCCTCCTGACTGCTACTTTTATAAATGCTATTTATTATTACACATTTATCATTCTGTGATGGTTAGTCAGTCATCTCCCTATTATCAAACACATTGTTTTGGGCTTTTATATGTAGTGAACATTTTTGTGTGTGAAATCTCCATTTTAAGATATTTCCTTTGGTTACACTCCTAAATGTGGACCTTTTGGGTTAAAAGGTATAAACTGTAAGTGCTTGGTATAGTATGAGATTATAAGTTATATTAAGTGAATATATTTGTACATGTATATATTTAAATAGATTACCTTTTAACATTTTTTGCCTGCTTTGTGGGGAACAGGGAAACACCAGACCCAAGTTTCCAGGAAGAGTTCTCTGGTCTCCTGCTCTTAAAGATGTTGCAGGCAGCTATAGAGGCATCCAAGGATAAAGACAAGGTAGCTCACAGCAGAATTGAATATTTCTCCGTTGTATACTTACTGTGTAATAGTTCTATCTTATTGAATTTATCCTTCTTCAAAGGAGATGGAGCATATACTCAGGGTGTAAACTAATCTACTCCATACTTGTACAATTTCTTTTCTGTCTCCTGTCTAATGAAAAGTGTCAGTGCCATCTGTAAAGCTCCTCCATGATATGTCCATGTTTAGTATTAATCTGTTTTTTTAAAAAGATCTTTAGGTAGAATTGACAAGTCAGAAAGATGAGAAGCCCTTGGCTTTGAATATCCCTTGTTAGACTAATAAGTTTAAAAGCATTGGCTGGACTTTAGGGTCAGGTAGACATGGTTCAAATCCTGGCTTGCCCTTTAGCAGCCAGATGACCTTTGGTGTATTCTTTAATTTCTCTGAAGGTCAGTTTCCTCATTTGTAACATGGAAGTCATTCCATATACCTTACTGGATTCTGAGAAGACTTATGTCAAAGCACCTAGTACAGTACCTCATACCAAGTGCTTAATTTAGTACAGTGGTTTTGAAAACCTGGGAAGCCCTACCTCAGGCTAATTCAATCAATTTCTGGGGTTAGGGCCTAGGAGATAGTTTTTAAAAACCAAAGCTCCCCAGGTTTTCTAGTGTACTGCAAAGGTTGGGACTTTCTAGTAGAAAAGTATTAGACTGGAATTACAAAATTCACCTTGCTCCCAAGCAGCATTGTCCTAGTGCCCCTGGGCCTTAAATGCCATTTCAGTAAGAGGACAATGGATCTCTCTGAAGGTACTAAAAATATCAGGCAAGTTGCTGGAGGACCTCACCTTTCTGATGACTCAGAATGTTAACCACACAAGACCTTGCAGAGTTCTGGAAACTTGTACATTTACATTTACAGTTTTCATTAGCTGTTTTATTTTAAGATGTCTAGGACTTCCTGGTTTTTTTAGAGCTGAAATGGCACTTTTGGAAACATCTCTTTGGCAAGACAAATTTCTAATGCTCATAAGTTTTATTTTAGGTAAAAAGCAATGCAGTCCGGGCCCTTGGAAATTTGCTTCATTTTCTGCAACCTTCTCATATAGAAAAACCCAGATTTGCTAAAATCATTGAGGAGTCCATCCAGGCCCTCATTTCTACTGTTCTAATCGAGGCTGCCATGAAAGTCCGATGGAATGCTTGTTATGCAATGGGGAATGTGTTTAAAAATCCTGCTCTCCCATTAGGTAAGTAAGTTTCCCTCTTTAGGGGAGGGCCTCTTTGGACAGTACACACCAGTCTACATTGTTGTTAAAGGTGTTGCTTGTGATGTTATTTATCACAGTTATTAGAAAAAATGGGAACATACTGAACATCCAAGGTTAGGGGAATGGTGAGATAAATCATGGTATGTATATTCAAAGGGATATTTTGTCACCATTTAAAATTATGTTTAGGAAATGGTAGTCTGGGAAAAGACTTCTGATGTTAAGCAAATTAAAACAGGATGTGAAATTTTTTCTACAGTATGATCTCAATAAGTGGGTAGAAAAAAGGAAATTAGCCTAATTATTAACAGTGATTGCCTCTATATGGAACAATGAGTAGGATTTTTTCTGCTCTCATTTTATAAAATCTTCTATAATGAGCATATATTGTTTGAAGTTATCAGGAAAAAAAATAAAGGAAAACTGGTACGTAAGAAAGAAGGTACAAATTGGAAATCCAATATGAGCCCTTGGTATTGAAGTGGAATGCCGCACGGGGAGGGCACCTGTCTCTGAGTAATGACATGCCATGTACCTTGATCTGTCATCAGTGGCCAATATGATCATAGTCTCCAAGTCCCGTTCACTGTACTGGGCAGCATTTGCCTTACACATTTGTCTCTGTAACAAGATTAGAAACACAAGGGTGTGTTTTATCCTCATCCTTCATCCTCCAGGAGAAGAGGTAAAACCATTCTGGTTTCCCTAGTTTGCATCAGGTTAGGGAAATGTGGCTCCTGATCCTCTTCATTGCTGAGAGTATCCAGGTACACCAGCCAGCCAGGACCTGGCGTGGAAATAGCCTAAGGTGACCTTTGGGGTTGGAGTTCATTGAGGTGGGTGTCTGCCTCCCTGTCTTCAGAGGCAACAGAGAAGCTGGGAAGGGCTGGGAGAGGTAGGGAAGTCACATTGTATTTTGCTGCCCATCTTGAGGAATAAGAACCCCCCAAAATGAACTGGGTAGTGGAAGCTCTGATGAAGAGCAGGCTGATTTTCCGGGGCCAACAGGAAAAGCAAGAAGACAAATCTGAGCATCATCCTCCCAAAATTGGAAAGTTGAGCCACCAGTTAATCTGAGTTCTCTGTTCCCCAGTCCCTGCCTAGATAGTGTTGTGTCTTTCTTTACAATAAAACCGATGACTTTCGGCATCCAGAGCAGTGTCTAGACACTAATCTGGATGACAAAATAGTCTTTTGTCAGTATGAACAGGGCAGGATGTACAGTCGTGCAGTTTGCACATTGCTCAGAAGCACCCAACTGAGAACAAGCAGGGCTGCGATTCAGCCCATGCTTCTCCCACCAGGCCCTGCCCTCTCGGGACAGCATCCTCTGAAAGGAGAGGCCTCTCTCAGCATCGTCCAAGTCACTATGTAGGGTAGCAGAGCCCCTGAGCCTGCAGCAGGCTTGTCTAAAGAAACAAGGAGGTTTGGGAGTCAGTACTAGGCCCCTTACCTAGGATCCCACAGTTAGTCACTCAGCACCCTGATCTTGCAGGATTATTGTGAAAATCAAATGAGCACTAGTGTGTATACTTCCTTCTGCCCCCTCCCTTTCACACTACTTGTTTCTAAAGCTTTCATTTATTTTAATGACTGTGGATTCTTTTTAGGAACAGCCCCATGGACCTCCCAGGCCTACAATGCTCTGACGTCAGTTGTGACATCATGCAAGAACTTTAAAGTGCGCATCAGATCTGCCACTGCCCTTGCCGTCCCGGGCAAGAGAGAGCACTATGGGTCTGTTGGCCAGTACGCTCAGATCTGGAATGCATTGGTCACTGCCTTACAAAAGAGTGAAGACACTACAGACTTTTTGGAATTCAAGTACTGTACCAGCCTGAGGACCCAGATCTGCCAGGCACTGATTCATCTTTTGTGCTTGGCTAGCACCTCAGATCTGCCCTGCATCAAAGAAACTCTTGACCAGAATGGGGACATGGTGCAGTCCTATATCCTACAATTTTTAAAATCAGGAGTAGAGAGAGACAATGCTGGAGCACCCCGTAGCCCACAGGAAAGAGACCAGATGGTCAAAACGGCCCTGGAGCACATAAGCAGTGTCCAGACACTGGCTGGGAACACAGCCAAAAGGGCCGTCATGGGCTTTTTAGAAGATATACTGACCATTTATTTAGACTCTTCTGGATCACAAGTAGCACTCACAGGATTAACAAATTGGTGAATATGCCACCATACTTTCCAGGTGTCAAGTGGTAATAGGAAGACCCAAGCGTGAGCATCAGATATGTGGGATTTAATCTTAGGGGCAGAAACAATCTACCTACTATTTATTTAGAGTTAGCAGCTCTGTAACTTTTTCTCAAAGGGCCCAGCTGCTGTAGAGAAGTGGTCCTGCTGCCCTGGCTCTGGTCCGGGTTGTTGGAACCTCTCACCTGTGCAACCAGCAGCCGAGGAGTTGGGTTGTAGTGTGGGCTGAGCAGCCTGGGGGGTTGTGAAGAATATTTAGTCTCAGAAGATGAAAAAAAGCAAAAGCATTTAGTTGTATATTGTCTCTGGGAATTGTTTTCTTTTATAATAAATGGATGAAAAATAGTGTGCCCATAATCTGTTTCTGTTGGGTTACATTTATAGAAAGCTGCAAGCAGGGCTGATGTTCAGCCGGTTTGCACTGGTACAGCCGCATGGGCTGCTAAAACACTGAAGCAGTTGATTATGTGTTGGTAAATAGCTGCTGAGCTCCCCAAATGCCAATTCCAGAAGCCCCTCTGCACCTCCTGACAACGCAGTAAGCAAAGTGGGCTCCTGGCAGACAGGGCCCCCTCCTCCCGGCCTTAACATTGACTTCTGTCTGAATCCTGATGCACCACAGGAGAGGTGGTCCTAGGTATAGATTCATGGTGGTTTTGCTGTCTTTGAGTTTGGGTCTTGAAAAATTGTTTATTTTAGATGGTTACAAAGAGAGGTTTTTAAATTAGATTTTGATAATGTCCAAGCAGTTATAAAAGTAATTTCTCACTGAAGAATTATTTATTTTTAAATTTTGCCTTCATGTCTTGATCACAAGTAATTGGAATTGATTTCAGGCAGGAATTGAGTGATATACAAGAGCCAATTAAAAATTATTCCACACTTACCTTTGACCTGGGATAAATAAGAATCAACATATATAGAAGGGGTTTGGGCAGTAATATTATTTAACTGTTGTTAAATTGATGATTCATTATTTAACTTCTCATTTAGCTTAAATATTTAAGTACTTGTTCTTTTCCCTCTAATATGCTATTGATTGCTCAGAAGATACTGTCCAGGCAGAGATTGGGGAACAGCATGCTCAGGTAACAGAAGGACCATTTTGCAAAGAATTGGTTATTAGGTACTATTACCCATACCCTTGTAGGACATTCTTTAAACTTGCTTTTCTTCGGAGAAGATTCTGGGCACATTGTAATAAAGACCCAGAGACGGAGTTAGACCTGTACCGATCCTATGATGAATCTTGGAACTTCCTTTTCTTAAAGGAATATATTCTTAGTAGCATCTAACTTAATTTGTCACTTGCATAAAAGTGAACATAGGGCCTCTGTAGCTTTTTACTCTTTTTTGGGGCTTTCACTGGTGGGTTTCTTGATAAAATATTTGTGAAATTGAATGGATTCATTTGATGATTCACTTGCATCTGTTTATCTTGACTAAAACCTAATTTTTTAATTTTGAAAACTTTCACTTCCATAAAGGTTTTCGGTTCTCTGAAAACATACTAATATTCAAATGCAGGGAAAGACCAAGGGTAAGCACTTCTAGAGATTCTAGGAGCCCAAAAATACAGGCTTCTGTCTTGAAGGGGTGCTGATTCTCCCTCTGATATTATGGGTGTGCACCAGACACCCTGGATTGGTACCTCAGTAAAGCCACCTTGGTTAAAGGAAGCCACACAGACAATAAAGAAAATTCATTCTGGTGCAGAAACAGAAGAAACCAGCTCTGATTCAGAATTCTAACTCAGAATACCAAATTCCGAACTTTGTCCTGATATTTAAAAGAAAAAAGATTTGCAAGAGGAGTCATCTAGGCGTAGATGGCTAGAGCCTTTGTTCCTTCAACTGACTGCAGTATAAAACATTGCTCATCTTTCTCTTTGAACCTTCCCTGTGACCACTAAAAGATACCCACTAATTCATACTCTTAATATTTGAGGAAGGCACACATTATAATCTCTTCCATGGTATTAGTTAATGGTATGGTAAATGTCTTAAGGTGATTCCAGGGCAGAGAGAAACCTCCCATGGAATACTGGGGCAAAGGCTGCTTTGATTTTAATATTTGTGCATGAATATGGACCATATGCAGACTCTCACCATCTTTTGAACATAAGAGCTATATGAGTTCTACTTACCGTAGTTCATTTGGCCTTCATTAACACAGTGCCGTGGTTTAGAGCTTGGCTTAAGTCCTGTCTGCTGCTTTCTAGGAACATCTTGTGCCTTAGTATTCTCATCTGTAAATAGGATAATAGTGCTTATTATCCCAAAAGGATATTACAACAAATTACATGGGAAGTTCTTAGAATAGCTTCTGGTGCTCAATAAATGTCAGGCAGTGATTTTCCTCGAATTTTTCAGAGCACTAAGCAGAAATACTGTCAGCACACCATGAGGTTTGTGATAACAAGTAGCTGAATTCCCCAGCTGCACTTCCAGTGGAGCTGTTGGCTTGGATGCCTCAGGAGCCTGGACCCAGTAGTGTGGGAGAGGCACTAATCCCTGAGGGGCAAGGCAAAGGACTGGAAGTGTGAAAGTCCACACATTTAGCAGGAGAGCAGTAGCCCCTTAGTTCTCCTTCATGACTCAATCTTGAGGGCCAGTCTGTAGAACTCACAGATCTAGTTGACACAAGCTTCCAAATTAACACCTGGGTTTCAAAGGACAACTCTTCAACTTAGTAACTATATCCAGACGCAAGTTGCTTGACCTCTTATTTGTGCAGTGGGAATAATGGTGCTTCAAGGAGTTTCAAGATGTCACACACTATATGTAAAGTATCTGGCTTGGAGCTGGTACAGAGCAAATGCTCAATAATAAATGGTGCCCTTGTTATGCTTTTCATTGATATCTTCCCTGGGCTTGAATGTCTGTCTCCTCATTAGACTAAGATGATTGGAGGAGTGTTTGTCTGCATTTAGGACGGCCCTGGAGTCCTCAGGTCTAAACTAAAGGGAGCCTCAGCTCCAGCGGGCAGGGAATTAGGGTTCGGGCCAGAGTCTCAGATATTCAACATTCGTTTGTCTTTTCTGTCTTAACACTTGTGGATCACAACACTGCCATCGGTAATGTGCTTACTGGACTGATGCAGTGGGGAGGGAGGTGGTGGTGCACAACTCTGGTGGTGTAATTCAAAATAGGAGCAGCATGTGTCATGTCCTTGAGGATTATTGCTCTGCAATCTATCCCATGACCAATTAGGATTTTCTGTAGGAATGCAGATATTTTTTTGGATGAGAAGTTCTAGTAACAATGTTTTCACATTAATAGGTCAAATAAGGAAACCCAAGTGGTTGTTTTTATCAGTGCTGAAAAAGCATTTGACCAAATCAGTGTCCTTTTCTGATCAAAATTCTTTTTAAAGAAATGAAGAACAAAAAAAAAGATACTTCATCAACATTGTAACATGTACCTGTCTTAACAGCGACTTTCCTAAAAGTATCAGAAACCAAGACCAACCTGTTACCACTATTACCTGACATCATATAAGATGTAATGGCCGATGTGATTAAATAAACCCAAAATAGAATTAAAAAACATTTTCTTTCAAAGAGTGTTTCCAAATTACTGTTATTTCATCAGTCTGAAAGATTATATTCACAAATCACTAATTGCAGAAAATCCACTCAGAAAATAATGGAACTAATAAAATTCTGTAAGGCAGCTGGTTACACATAAGCCAAAAACAGTAGGTCTATGTATCCGCAATAACCAATTTGATTTTTTGTGTTAAAAAATGATCCCATTCACAACAGTGACAAACATAATAAAATATCTAGGAATAAATTTAACCAAAGTCTGTGCAAGGACTCGGTGAAAAAATCTAAAAATTTTCAAAGGTCATGAAAGAAGACAGAGAAGATATACCATGTTCTACATAGAAAGACTCAATATTATAAAAAAGACCACTTCTCTCCAAATCTATAAATTTAACTAAATTCCCATCAAAATCAAAATAAGATTTCTTAAAGTGACAAGATGATTCTAAACTTCATCTGGAAAAGTAAATGCAGAAATTTAAACCAAGACATCAGGCTTTTAGCCACCACGCTGTGGGGGAAAGGTGAATTTCTCTGTAAATTAGTATGCTTTATATGAGAACTTTCCAGCCTGTGTAAAACCATGCCTGTTTGTTGAATAAAAATCCCTTTCCTTGTTGCAGTCTCTCTCTCTCTCTCTCTCTCTCTCTCTCTCTCTCTCTCTCTCGGCTTTCTTATTTAGCTCTTGATGAGATAATACTTTGTTAATAGAACTCTGACACCAGAGAAAAATTTGAAACTCTGGGAATGAAGACAGAAATGGGAACTATTTGGGTAAATATAGAAGGCTATTTCGGTCATGTTGAGCTCCTTTGGGTAGCTATTTGGGTAAATAAAATAGGCTACTTTTCTCCTACCATTGATAGTATGTATGTATTATCAGTGAAAGCAAGACTTATCACATTGTCTGACAGGGTTTTTAGTGAATGTAGATGTAGTACTTATGAAAGTCTCGACATAAAGAGGAAAGGTAAAGAGGTCTCTGTGGTGGTCGAATTTCTACATTTCACTTGAAGTAATAAAATATTAATCCTAAACAGAGTATGTCTACATTTCACTTGAAGTAATAAAATATTAATCCTAAACAGAGTATGAAAAGTTAAAGTGTTTTGTAATCCCTTGAGGAAGCCACACTAAAAAAATGACACAACATATATTAAAAATTTCAATAGATAAGTTAAAATGGAATACAAAAAAAAACATTCAAATAATCCAAAAGAAGACAGGAAAAAACTGGAATGGAAAACACAGGGAACAATATAAATCCAAACCAACCAGTCATTAAATTTAAAAGCTCCAAATATACTAGTTAAAAGACACTGTCAGAACAGCAAATGAAACCAAACCTAACTCTATGCTATTTATAAGAAACTCATTTTAAGTAAATAGTATGGGTTAAAAATAAAAGGACAAAAAAGAAAAATACACTGCAGATGCCCATCAAAAGAAAGCTGGAGTGGCCATATTAATATCAGACAAAATAGACTTCAGAGCAAGGAAGCTTACCAGGGATAAAGAGGAACATTATATAATGATAACAAGGTCAAAGAAGACATAACAATCCCAAATACCTAATGACAAATATTCAAAATACATGAAGCAAAAACTGATAGGATTGGAAGGGGAAATGACCAATCAGCAGTCACAATTGGAGACTCCTACACTCCTTGCTCAGTGACCAGTAACAAAGAGTCCCTATTCTGCATCATAAAACAGATCACAACAAATGTAAAAGAAATCATACAAAGTATGATCTTTGATCATAATGGAATTAAGTAATAAATTAGTAACTGGAAAA